ATAAAAAATTTTTACTTATATGTGGCAACATGGAATTACACAACCAAGTCATCACCATATAATTCTCCTGCACCCACCGGGAGTTGCTAGTTTCGGGTTTCACCTCTTCACCAGTGATGTACCCTAATTTCCCACGAGCACCAATGGCCATCTTTGCAGATTGTGGCCATTCCAAGTAATTTGCACCATCCAACCTAATTGTAGTAATGGTCCCACCCCCAAAGGGGTCTCCAGCACCTCCTCCCACTGGTTCCATTTCACTCTCGGGCTTATTTTCAACTCTGTGGCCCTCCATGCTTCTCAAAAAAGGTAAAGAAAATAACTAAAATTTGCAGCAAGATCAAACAAAACACCTTTTGGAACCAACAACACTTTCTTGGTGTCCTAGACTTTCTTTCCACAAAAGATTCCTTTTCTATGGGATGAGAAAAGAGAGGAAAGAGGCAGTCGCCCTCTCTAGAAGCCTCCAAACCAAGCAGAACTTGAACCGCCCCTTACAAAAAACTCCAAGGAACCCTAAAAAATTAGGGCACCATTTCCTAGGTCAAAATTGAAGAGTCCAACAAAAACAAGACTCTTCCCCTTTCTCCAGTTTTTCCTGATTCTGATGAGAAACCCTAGACTAGCTACAGGGCACAAAGATCCATCAAGAAAATCCAAAAACTGGGCTTACCTGAGAGCTTCGATCAGCCTCTTAAATCACCATGTCGTCGGCCGATCTAGGGTTGCATGAGAGAACAACTTCAAGAACCTTCGGCCTGCTCTGATACCAAGTAGAAATCACTATTTGCTTATTCAGTCAAGCTTCTTGTGAGAGAAAGAGGGGGGAGGTGAAGATTTCAGCAGTAGAGAAGGGAGGAGAAGAAGAAAAGAGTAGGAGGTCAACTAGGATTGTGAGAAAGTTAACCCTAGTCGCCTACCTCTCATTATATTTATAATTAACTTAAAGATGAGATATTACAAGGATGCCCTTAGTAGGGCGGCTACTAAAACTGAACAATCACAACTTTAAAAAATATAAACTAATGGGCCTAGGCCCAACAACTTCCTAACTAAATAAAAACAAACTAAAATAAAATCGAGCCACTCAACATGCATCATTGCAAGGAACTATCCAGATATAAAAAGAATGATCTATTACCATGAAATGAGAATCCAAACATTGCATCCACAAGAATGTCAAAGTCATTTGACAAGTCCACTGGCAAGTCATCCACAGATAAGAAGGGGATATACAATGATTCAAGCTGCCAAATAAAGAAATGTAATAAAAATTTATGGACAAAGAACATGAATTTATACTTCAGAAAGAACTTAATTTGCTTCTAGGGTATACCTGAGTAACCAGACCAGTATAAAGTGCCTTTGAAGTACGCTTTGGATAGCAAACAGATGGTTTATATCCAAAGTGATGTAGGTGGCGAGCAGCTACCAGGCCATCACCACCATTGTTTCCTGGACCGCAAATGGCAAGAACACGACTGTAGTCACTTGATTTGTAGACCTGCGAAGATAATAAATCCACTTGCAATAAAGCATAACAAAACTTGAAACCAAAATTTAGCATCCCACATTATAATGTAATTTAGAAAGACAATTAATGATAATCTAAAACTAAATTTAACCACTAGATGAGAGATAAAAAAAAGAGGACAGAGAAATTATGTCACATATTGTTAGTGGAAATTTTTTTTAGTATAATTTCTCACATAACATAATTCACCCAATTAGACTAATAACTGAGCTTTTTTGTTATTTGGGTAAACCCCATTCAGGAAATCACGTAGGTATTCCCTTAGTTACATCTCTGCTAGGGGTAGAGAAAACCTTTTGATTTTGATTCAGAAGTACAAATGAATAGACTAAACTAAGTATCATTTTTCTACAGAATTTTCTTTTGAAAATTCTGGTATATATTCCCTCTTTGTTTAAGAGAAAACTAGCAAATAAATAAACAAACTTTTATACATAACAAGTAAATAGGTATCATAAATAATCGTATTTCATTAATAAGGTTGCAAATGGCCTTTAAATTGTGGTTATGTCCATTTATCATGGTATGAGGAATCATAATCAACCAAGTTTCATGAACAAGGTTGTAGATGGTTTTTCCCCTCACACATAGGTTAATAGGTTGTGAGGAACCATAATCAGCCAAGTTTCATGAACAAGGCTGTAAATGGTTGTCTCCCTCACATATGATTAAAATGAGACAAGGAGAAGAAAAAAAAAAGGAAATAATAACAACAAAGGAGGAAAGTGTGTGAAAAGAGTATAAGGAAAGACATAAGTCTAATAGAGGAAGTTGTAGGAGTATCATAATGAAGAGGTGGAGGAGGAATACTTCAATCCCTACCTTCTTCTTTCTCCTCTTCTCCCTTTTCTTCCACACCACAATCTTCTCTTCTTTCTCCTTTGGTTTGTCTCTTGTTGCTGTAAATTCTATCAATTGAATAGAATTAGCCAACAAAATGGCATTAGCCCCTTCTCTTTGTAGGAGAGGGGTTTATATTAGAGGAGAGAGGTAGTTAAGTAACTTCCCACTCCTCTCTTCTTAGAGTGTCAAGTGTCACTCCACTTAAAATGGGTTAAGGAGGGAAAATAAAACTCTTCCTTCCTAAGGTGACAAGTGTCCCCCCACTTAAAGTGGGTTAAGGAGGGAGAAGAAAACTCTCTCCCCTAGGATGACATGTGTCCCCCCACTTAAAATGGTTAGATGAGGGAAAATAACTCTCTCCCCTAGGGTGACATGTGTCCCCCCACTTCAAGTGGTTAAAAGAAGGAAAATAAATCCTTCTTCCTAGGGTGACATGTGTCCCCCACTTCAAGTGGTTAAAGGAGGGAAAATAGCTATCTTGTTAGAATAGGACAAGTGGCATCCCCTTATAAATAAGTGGGACACCTCACAAGAAATTAGTTAAAATGGATTTATTCTTTCAAGGCCTGTTGTTCCATTAAATGGGCTCTACTGCAAGCCCATTAAATGCTTATTACAAACAAGCCCAATTAATTTGAGGCTTGTTGTTCACTAAACTAGACAGCAGGCCCCTTTCATTATTAAAATGTTTCAACCCACCAATAGGACTGACTGGGCTTATAAGAAAGCCCTTTTTCTTCTTTATTATTATTTTTTTTAAGTTGTGTCTGGGAGTATCTTAATAACCTACTCCTAGTCCAGCAAACTTAAGGACTTAACACATATGTAGTCAACTCACCAACTGTATCTTTCCATTAAGGGTAAACACCATAGGTTGACAAGCTTAATAGAAAAATACAACTCAAATAATAGATTTGATGATTATCAAGTTAGCAATCATACAGCAAAGGAGAAACAGTTATTACTAGAAACCAGAAATGCTTTCAACATGAGATATGCATGAGTTAAAAGGGCACATAATGTTGAGTTTCTGAAACTAACTTCATCAAGAGCATTAGTAGGCAGTTGGAATATAAGCTCAATATGGCATTCCAGATATGCAAGTGATGAAATAACAAAACTCTATGAGTAACATAATGATAAAGATGAAGATGCAGCCTTAATCCAAAATTGGTCCTTCTACAGTTCAAAGGGTTGAAAGAAACTAAGTCCAAAGGAATGCTCACAACTACTAACATAGGATTACTTGAGAACAACTAACTCCAAATCTGGCTACTGGATTGCCACAAAACTTAGGGCAATGGATGAATTGGCTGAACTGAATGGTTTATTGCTTTGCTATTTAGTAAATAAGGATATTGTGAGCTCCTTAATGGCTGAATTTCCAGTTAAGTTGATTATTATGCCATTAATATTGTATTATATTACTATTTTATCCACTAAGAGACAAAGCAATAAGTCATTCAACTCTGCTATATCAGCCATTATCAAATGGCTTCTTAGCCCTGTTAAGATTTTTTTTTAAGTCTTATGAATGCAAACAACACAACAATTAAAAAAAATATAATTCATTATATTAATTTTATCAAGTAGAACAGATTTATAGTAGGGCATTGGTGCAATGGTAAAATCTTGGTCTGACAAACATGAGAATACAGTTTCAAATCTGTAAACAGCCACTCCGTGCATAAAATGCCATAAGTTAGGTTTATAACCCTTCACCTCTCCCAAGACCCTGGATAGTTGGGACCTATTAGGTAATAGTCCTCTTTATAACACATTTATAATGCATTCCAAGACTAGATAAAGGTGGAGGATTATGTCAGCTTGAAAGTTGACATAAAAACCTTTAGCCAATAGAATACAAACATGAATGCCAAACCATTTGCTCCAAAGAACTTATACTTTGACAGAAAACACGGCTTTTGATAAAGAACAATGATGGGACTGGATTTGAGTGGCTGAGATTAAGGCTGAGTTAAGTATTTATAGTGCATTTCAATTTTGGTCTAAGAACCCATTCTAATACTGTTTGTTAAAGAAATCTTCTTATGTACCCTCTATTTCATTAATAAAGTTACCATCTTTTTCAAAAAAAAAAAATGTTTACATGCATAGCATGAGAGACTTTGTTAAATTTATGAAAGAAAGAAATTTGAATTAATGATTCTCCTGTCTTGGTTGAGAGAGAGAGAGAGATTTCAAAGACCAGCCTTAATGATTCTCCTGTCTTGCTCTCTGTTAGTGCTATCTCCAACGGTTTCTCCCCTTTCCTAATGAAGAATATGATTACCCCATACTAAATTACAGAAGTTGATAAATGATAGTTGGGATCCTCCTAAGCAAGTAGGGCAGCACTAGATGAAGAGACTTATCATCAAATTAAGCTAAAGAAGTGGCATAACTCTTTAAATGAGTTAACTCTTCTTAATCCAGCAAAATGCTACACTTGCACTGCCATGTCAATAATGATCATAAAATGATTGGAAATGTGGCATAAAAGGCACGACAGTTGAAATAGCTGTATTCAATAAATAACATGCATAGAGGTGTAACTCTCTAGCAGACTCACTTGTCAGGGAAGATGTTACTAGAACAGAATTTTATTGGGGAAGGCCCATTTATACTCTTTTGGGGCTTGATGTATTCTGGGGAAGAGTAGTGGGATGGAGCTAGCTCTTTTTTCATGTCCTTCCTCTTTTTTTTTCATTTATTTATCTTTTCTTTGGGGTATACTCTGTTCTTCTTATTTATTACTGAGCTGTTACTGATAAAAAAATAGCATACACAATGTAATTGACCATGGCATTGAATCATTATAGCACCATAATTGATGACCATATCAGACATCATTAATCCATAATATAATACGAACCATAAATATTAAAAGTTGACACCAGCTTATGCAAGTGAAGGCTATTGATCAAGGGGGAATGCGCCTACCATCTACCAGCAGAGATATGCAAGTATGAACATTCAAACACAAATATGAGAAGACCCACAGACCAAAAACATAAAGACACCTACCTCTGCTATTGATGTTGCAACACTCAACCCAGCCAATTCCTGCAATTACCATAGAAAGAAACGAACTCGGTACGATAAAACAATTACGAAGATATCCTAAAGCCTACCCAGGATTTGAAAGGTGGTCGGGCGCATTTTTGAAACAATAAAAGTAAAAAATTCAACATATTCACTGACCATCAACTGATCGACGCTAAACCCAAGAGGACCCATGAGAATCTCGTCAATCTCCGCAGCCTCTTTCTGGGTTAGATAAGACAGGGAGTCCGGATTCTGCAAGTTCTGGAGAGATGAAACGACCATGCTCGCCATTCCTCTCACTTCACCGAACCGCCAAAAGGAATCACGAGTTGCAGAGCTAGAACGCGAGCCCCAAAACCCCTGTATCGGGTGTGAAAGATTAAAATTCAAGAAGGTAGCATGGTAGTTACATTAGTTAGTTAACGAGTTAGCTCCTTTACAAAAAGTTCAGAAAGAAATCAAAGAAAGTAAGGAGAAAATATTACCGCGGGAAGAGAGGAAACGTTTCGGAAGAAGCAAAAAGATTTAGCTGGAAGGGGAGAAGACTGGGAGCAGGTGTGATTGGCGTTGCTAACGTTAATAAGGAACTTGGTGAACGGGAGGCGTGTCATTGCTCTTCTTTTGATCCCACATGTCAACATTTCCTCTTTGGTGCCAAACAGTTCTAAGAGGGGCTTTATTTGCATTTTCTTTCTGATCCCACAGATCAGAACCCCGACTCGCACAAAATAGATGTGAGTCCGGATTGGCTTTCGACAGTGCGCTCCCCACCGCATATCGGGTTGCCGTGTTCAGTCATTCATGGGGAAATGTTCGCGATATGCGGTTGTAATATGCTGTGTGTATGAAGTAGGGAGCCAATCCGAACTCAAAAAATGTTGGTAGCGTGGATTCATCTGTAACACTCATTCGAATCCGGAATCCGGATCTTCTGTTGTTCATAAGGAGATCACATCTCCGCCCCACAGTACATCTCCGCCGTGTATTAGGAACATTTTCCGATGACTTCATTATTTCTGATATTATTATGAGGAGATGTTCCCAATACACGGGGATATGCTGTGGGGCGTTGTGGGGCAATCTCTTGTTGGGCGGAGATGTACCAGGTGTTCTCAATGCAGTCACACATGGGAATATCTCATCCTCCCACATAGTGTACAAGATGAGATGTTCTCAATGCAGGGAGGTAGTGTGTTATGGGTGGATGTGAGCTGAATTCTTAGGGCAGAAGATCCGGAGTCCACTCATTCACAGTCAAGTTGGAATCTACTGCCAATAAACACATTCTTAACACCCTTCCAACGTAATTTGATACGGCATAAGGCATATGCCACCACAAGACTGGACCAAGTATTCATACACCCTAATAGAGAATAGGAATAAGAGGTGTATTGATTAGGGGTGAGCAAAAAAAACTGAAAAAGCGAACCAACCGAAAAATCGATCGAAACCAAACTAAAAAATCGGTTAACTGAATTGGTCAGTTTAGTGTTTTAAAAAAATCAAAAGTATCAGTTCGGTTTTGGTTAACCAATATAGAAAACCGTTAGTTAACCGAATTGGTCGGTATACATATATTTCTATATATTTTATATATGTTTAATATTTTTTATATATTATAAATTAATAGATATGTATTATATATAAATATATATTTATAATATATGATATGTTATTTATTATTTAAAATATAATATTTTTTATTTTTTTATTATATATTTATATAATATATATTGTAAAAATAAAAAAAATTGAAAAATCGATGAACTGAACTGACGGTTAATCAAACCAGTCAACTAGTCAACCGATTGATTTTAATTCAGTTTCGGTTACTGGTTTTCCAAAAATCGGTAGTAACAATTCAGTTAATCAAATCGTGAACACCCCTAGTATTAGTGCGTTAGACCTTGAATCTATTCATTTTTTTTAGTTTTTTTTTCAAAAAAATAGGTCAAAGGGTAGGTCTTAGCAATCAGAATCTCTTATTCACAACAATCCTATCCACACCTATTTAGAGGATGTTTGCATGTTACTCTTCATAAGAACATCACATGTTATCATTAATGAGAGGATGTTTCCAATGTACATCACTAATATCCTATGGGTGGGATTCTTGTGGGTAAGACTTAAGAGATATATATGGATTGGTCATAGGCGTATCTACCCTTACATAGTCAATCCCCCAAAGCTCCCTTATTTAGCGTACCTATTATCCACCGCTAAAGTACCAAAAAATGATGTCAATACCATATCTATTAGCCAATAGGGGTTGAAGGACTGGCTAGAGCAATTTGGTGCCATGCTCAAGTAGGAATAAAACCATAATACACCAAACAAATCATTTCATTGGTACCTTTCAAAATGGTTTTGCTTGTTACCTGGTCATCTCTCCAAAATGGAGAAAGGAAATAAGGAATCAATGGATCTTTCAAAAGAAAAAAAAAATACACCCCTAGAAAATCATTGAATCAGCTTGCAACATTCTTAAAGAACATTCAGAAACTGCAAAAGAAGAGAATGAGCACCCCAACAATCACTCCCTCATATACCTTGTTCACAGATGGCTCATTTGATGAAAAATCAGGTCATGTAGGAATTGGATATGTACTCAAGTTCAGAATCAAAAGTGATGAAGGAAGATTTGGCCCGACCTCGTAACTACTCAACACGTGGCAAAGGCAACAGTTCGGCACAACAGCTCGCCAAGGCGCGAGCTCCGAGAGGAGGAACCAGTGGTCCGAACTCCCCGCAAGGAGCCCGAACTCCCAGTAAGGAGCCCGAGCTCTCCCTTAGGCCCCGAGCCTTACGAACACAAAGGGCAACAACCCGAACTGGCCTGCCCCATGGCAGTTCGAGCCACACTTCTATCCGAACTCGACTTAACCTCGCACACTACTCCAGCACTTCACCCCCGGAACACCGAACTGAACAAACCGTACCTGACACCGAAGGAGTCCGTATCCAGGGGCGGTGCACCTGACTGACTTGGGATCTGACGCTTGACAGCCGCATTCCAACGGCCACCTGCCACCGCCATCTCCAGTTATAGAGACGGCTCCAACAAGGAGCAGTGGCGGTTCTGTCCCAGCAGAGGTGATGACACCCGAACTGGCAGAAGCACAGAAGTAATCATACCCGACCTGACAGAGGCCTCGGAGTGAGTGCGCGAGGTGGTTATAAAAGGGCTCTCTACCCCTCGAGGAAGGTATGTGAACTTTGCGCCATCTGGTTTTATCTTGCCTTTGAGAGAATACTAACTTGAGCTTCGGAGTGATCTCGTCGGGTTCCTCCCCAAAGATTCCCCACTTTCTTCGTTTCAGGCCCCCCTGTTGCTCCAATCAGAGGCAAGGTCGTTGACAGCTAGGATCGGCCGGATTGCGCACCATCAATTGGCGTCGTCTGTGGGAACGCTTCTAAAAGCCTCCCTCTAAAACTCTCATAACCTCTCTTCTCCAAAAATCCCAACACTCATGGCTTCTTCCAGCAATGCCAGATGTGGCACGGAGATGAACACCACCGGGGAACAACTTCAAGTCTCCGTGGTGTGCGTCAGACAGTTCACCATCCCCCTTTTGATGGATGGGATCCCTAGCTTGAATGCGCCACAAGCAGTGGCGCCCGTAGACCTTCCTGCCATGAGCATCTCCTTTCCTCTCCCTATCGAAACAACCTTTACTGAACCAACTGTTGTCCCCTTGGCAACCAGCCAGAACCAGTTGGACGATCTGATGCAATGCATGCGGGCAATGCAAGCCCAAATGCAACAATTCCAGCAACATCAGCTCCAGCAGCACCAAGTACTGCACCACATCTCCCAGTATCACTATCAGCAGCAGTTCCCCCAACTGCTTCTGAACCAACCACTGCTTCCACCTCGGCACCCTGCACCAAAGCCGGTTAAGCCCTCCCCTCAGGGTGGACGCCGTCACCAAGGAGAGGCCTCCTAACCTCAAAACCCCCACAAGAGCCAGGCCTCATCCCCGGGCCGAGGGCAAAGAAAGATCACCCCCGCCTTGCAGCTCGCCGGCGGGTCGGGAAC